GCTGCTGAAGAAAAAGAATGGAAGGGGCAGGCACCAGAGGGGATGAGGGTAATACAACAGGAGCATGAGGCAAGAAGAGAGAGCACAAGCAATGCAGTAAGAATAGACACAATGCCAAACGGAAGCAGTGGGAATGCAAACTTAAGAGGTAGCTGAAATGAAGGCCACTAAACCAAGAAAAAGCATCCAAGACAGAACTAGCCAGAGAAGGTAACATACCAACAGGAACATTAAAAAAGAAAAAAAGACTTTACAAGCTGCTGTTTAGCAGCAGAACAAATCAATGAAAAACAGTGCACAAAGAAATCCACAGCAAGATGAACCAGTTACAGCTGTCAGTGGAGAGAATGTCCATCTTGAAGCAGTAGGCAAAACTGGTTACTTCTTGTTACTCAATTTTTACAGGTAGCAACAGGCAGCAGAGACTGGAGAGCTGTTTACAGCTCTCTGGTGCACAAAGCAGAGCCTCAGAAGAGATTTTCAGATTGCAGAAGTGTTTGACTTCAGAGACAGTCATGTGCAGACTTGCTCTTTCTGTTTATCGTGCCAACACATTCCTAATTAGGTATGCTGACCGCTTTGTTCTCCAAGGTGAGGAAAGGAGGGCATCCTTACACTCCATGTACTTCATCATAAGCATCAAGTTTGCCTTAGTAGCAGAAACGTGACTGATGACCCCTGCAGAGTCAGCAGAGCTCCATAAAAGTGTATTTGATTTTCTTTCTGCTTTTGCACTAAACACAGGGCTATGAGCTAATTTAATCCGGGTATTTGTCCAGCCTTGCTAGATTCTAATTACCATCTGCCTCTTGTGTGAAATCCTGCTGAGGACAGCAGCTCCTCAAATGCTGGCAGCCTTCAGAATGAAAGTGTCACTGGCAGTTAGCTACAAGTCAAGGCTACTCAGATGGCAGGTAACCAGACTGCAAGGCTGGCAGGCAGGAGTTTCTAGGCTGGTTCTTCTAGTTTGGTTTGGGGGTTTGGTTTGTTATTTTTTGGTGTGGTGGGTTTTGTATTTTGGTTGGTTGGTTGGTTTCTCTCCTCCTTTCCGGGTGAGTAAGTTTGACCATTTGAAACGTGCCACTCCAGAGAAACACCATCTTTGAATGCAATTGATGCCAGGCAGACTCACCAACTGAACACGGGGCACAGAAGAGACCACTCCTTAGATTGTACTTCCATTAGCAGATGTTGTTTTCTCTCCACAATATACTGCTATCCTTCCCACACATTCCACCTACCTTCCTGAAGACAGAGCCACATCTTTCAGCGCCATCAGAAGACTCTCCCCTTCCACATATGCAAAGGATAAATTGATGCATCCTACACACAACAATTGAAGTAGACAAAAAAAACACCTTCTATCAGCTGAAACTCAGGACAAATCCTACTCCATGGTACTTGCACAGTGTGTAGCTGAAGTGCATTAGCCAGTCATGGCCATTAACACTGCAGAGCTAGAGAGTTATAACAGGCTCAGATTTCGCTGATGTTACCTGGATAGCGATGCTCTCTATCTCCATTCATAACCACATCAGGAACTTCACTCATTATTTTTGCGACTAGTCGTTCTGCCAGTTGCGAGATTCGCTTATGGTCATACTAGCAAAGAAACCAGAAAAGAGACCCCAACAGTAAACTGAGTACAATTTGACCTCAAACTGCTTGGTGTCACCAGCCACAAGCAGACTGAAGTAGCTGGGTTTGGTTAAACTAGAGAAAGAACACACCTGAAACTTAAAAAGAAACTGTCAAACTTGTCCTACGCTACAGACTGTTTTAAAAGAGAATTATCAGTTTGGTCCTAGCTAGCTCAGCCTTCAGAAGTATTCCAAGCCATTCGGAAAGATCTGTATATACGAGCATCCAAACTGGCTTTCATAAAGCACTGGGTTCTTTGTGTTTAAAGACAAGTTAGGTAACGCGTAAGATGACGCATTTTGCAACACAAGAAAGGGCAGCTATTATGGCAAGTGGCCCTTACTTCCCCAGGGACTCTCAAACTGTACTATAATAAAACACGGACTTGCAAATGACTGCGAACTCCGCTTTTACAACATGCAACCTATGCAATGAGAACTGCCCAGGTGCAGTGTCTCGTTCTGCACTAAAAAATGAGGTCACTTACACTAAAAAGCACTAAGGTATGGTATCGGCTCCAGTGCACAGCAACAGCCGGACGCACACATTCAGTTCATGCTTGTGTACGCGCTCGAAAAGGCTTTAGAATAATGCAAGGCTAACTCGAATATTACGTGGTTTAGAAACACCAAAACTCTGCCAGGCAAGGAAGACAATCCAGATCTGAGGCTCATGCAGAATTCAGGCTCTGCAGGTTCTCCAGCCTCTAACCAAGCTTCCACAACCACCCAGCTCAGATGGTGGATCTCTGCCTGTCTCCCAGAAAGAAGCTTGATCATATGTGTACATCAGATCTCTGGCATACACATCCCACTGGCACTATACTAAAGGATTTTTGTGCTCCAGCTGAAAGGAATGCATTGATGCTCACAAACAGACACAGCAGCACACAGAGGCTTAGACACCGGACCTAGCAAATAAACTTTACTGTCCAAGCCAGGAAACCAAAAATTCTTAGTTGCAACGCTGCAGTAAACTTGAACTTATATACATTTAATAGGCATGGCCATGGACCAGGAAGTTTTGGTGTTTTTTTCCAATATACGTTACATAAACATGATTTATTCCATTTCAGAGTTGCTGCGAATGCACGTGTGTAGAATGGAGAGATGAGTACCGGCACTTACAGCCATACTTCACTGAAGCTGTCAACTGTAAAGCTGTTGTAAAAAACCATGATTCATACCACTTCAAGAAAAAAAAGGAACTTAAGACAGCTGAAAATCAACTTCCAATTACCCAAAAACATCTATGAAGATCACAAAATATTTACTTAATGTTAAAGCACAAGAATCAAATTTAATTCAGGCACGTGGACACAAAAAGACCTACGGAATCTAAGACCTAACTGGCCCTGTAATTTTATTTTCTGGAGTCCAGGACAACTATCTTCTCCCACATACCTCCATCTCTTGCTGTGCCACTTCACACGCTGCCCCCAGGCCCACTGCTAAAGGCGTGGGCACCGTCCCGGAGCGCAGTCCTCTCTCCTGGCCTCCCCCACTTTGCAGGGGTTCTAGCCTGACACGCGGTCGACGGCGAACATAGATAGCACCAACCCCTGAAAACAAGAAAACCTGGTTTAGGATTGTTGTGGTTTGACCTCGGCCAGCAAAATACCACAAAACCACTCTC